TGGTGGAGAGGTCGCCATTGAAGGATGCGATGGACTATGTGCATGTTAGTCGACCGCCATTCTGTACAGCGCATAGCTACATACTTTGAGGAAGCTCGACCAAGAGCCCTTTGCCTGGGGTGGCACAGCGGAGCCTTCTTTCTCAGCCATGATGGCGACGTAAAATTAGAGGTGATGGGTTTAAAAAGCCAAGGAAACCTCTCACGGGAGTCTATGCGCGTGTGTAGGGATGTGTGAAAGGCGGGGGTTGTCGAGATCTAGGTAACTTGGGTGGGGAACGGTATTGTTATGGGGTGGAGACGGAGGCATGTTTAGATTGGGAAATGACGTCGCCGAGCTAGTGCTGCTAAGCCACACGCGCAAACACATTAGGGGATCATGACATATTGCCACGCGAATGATCATCATTACTACCGTTTTGTCGACCAAAACAAATCTGTTTTTACTGGTATTCTCGTGTACAAGTCGTCTAATCATGCTAATTACATCTCCGCGTTCTCCACTCCAACAAACGCGCTTACGTCTTGACATCGGGCTCGGTGCGGCCAACGTACTCTTGGAGCTTCAGGAGGTCAGTCGCAAGCTTGACGTTGTCCTTGAGGTAATCCTGAGCGTCCATGTCGTATGTCGACTCGTCGCTAGTGTGCTTCTCAATGTAGAGACGAATGGTGGCGCCGCTGCTACCTGTGCCAGACAGACGAACAACGATGCGGCTTCCATCGTCAAACTTGACAAAGATACCCTGGTTCTTGCTGACGCTACCGTCCAGGTCGGTGTAGGAGAAGTCGTCTGCCTCGACAACCTTGCGGCCAGCGACGGTGGAGCCGATGAACTCGTCCTTCTTGGTGGTAATGAGTTCCTTCATGTGGCTGGTGACCTTGTTTGCGCCCTCAGTCTCGCAGCCCTCATAGTCGTAACGAGTGAAGAATGTGCGGCCGTATGTCTTCCAAAAGTCCTTTTGGATCGAGGCAATGCTGGGTGTGGTACCGGTCTGCTGTCCAACACCGGCCAGGATGTTCAACCAGGCAACGACAGCCCATAGACCGTCCTTCTCACGGATGTGGTTGCTGCCTGTGCCGAAACTCTCCTCACCGCAGATGTTCATCTTGTCAGAGTCGAAGAGACCGCAGAAGAATTTCCAGCCCGTAGGTACCTCGTAGCACTCGACGCCCTTCTTCTTTGCAACCAGGTCAATCGCGCCAGAGGTCGGCATGCTGCGGGCGAGACCATAGATGCCCTGCTTCTTGAAGTACGGGATAAGCTCGGCGTGGTGTGCGATGATGGCCAAGCTGTCACCAGGTGAGACGAACGAGTTTGCGCCGTAGATCATGTTTCGGTCACCATCACCGTCGCTGGCAGCACCAAAATGGATCCCGTTCTTGTCAACAGCGTCAACCAGCGACTTGGCGTAGACAAGGTTGGGGTCTGGGTGGTGGCCGCCAAAGTCTGGCTTGGGGACGCAGTTTTGTGTGCTGTTGGGGATGCCGAGCTCCTTCTCGAAGATGTCCACACCGTATGAGCCGGTGACACCGCTCAGGCCGTCGAAGAGGACCTTGAAGTCCGAGTGCTGCTTGAGGAACGACTTGATGAGGTCAAAGTCGAAGATATCCTTGAGCATCTTCAGGTAGTCCTCTGTTGAGTGGACGATCTCAACCTCGAGGCTTCCATACTTTTGTGTGCCAATTGTGCTCAAGTCGATGTCGGGGATGTCGGCGATCTTGTACGACGAGAGGGTCTTGGAGGTTTCGTAGATCTTGTTGGTGACGCTCTCGGGAGCTGGGGCACCGTTGGCAAGGTTGTACTTCATGCCAAAGTCCTCGTCGGGGCCTAGATGCGTCAGGTGGGGGGAACGGATCGATGCGTCTGGGAGAACTTACCACCAGGGTTGTGGCTGGCAGTGAGGAGGATGCCACCGGTCGCCTTTCGTATCCGGATGATGTGACTGGCGGCAGGTGTGCTCATGATTCCATTTTGGCCGATCAGGAGCTTCTTGACGCCATAGGCAGCGCTCATCTTGGCGATGGTCTGGGTGACCTCGGGGTTCCAGTAACGGCCATCACCACCGACGACGAGGAAGGCGCCGTCGGCGCCCTCAGGGATGGACTGGAGGATGCTGGCAACAAACGACTCTGAGTAGTGCTCCTGCTGGAAGACCTTGACCTTCTTGCGGAGACCAGAACTGCAGCAATCCAAGTCAGCTATCATGCCTCGACGCCATAGCTCCATGCGCCCTCCCAAGCTCGTCCGGGGACATTGCACTTACGTTCCGGGCTTCTGGTCTTGGAATGGCTTCAATTCAACGGTTCGGACGCTCATGTTGACTGTGTATGTGCTGGAAGCTGATTTGGAGGGAGATTGAAGCAATTGCAGAGTTTAGAAAGGTGGCAGCAGGGCAACTTTTGAGCTGCTGAGGGGCCCAGCTTCCCCCACCACGCGGGATGACGCCGGCGCTAGCTCATCAACGGGAAAGAACAACGCCACGCTGGCTATCATCTCAAGTTTTTCCCTCGTCAATGTCCCAACAGTCGCTGCGCTCATGCGCTAATCCTGCAATCGAGGGCGAGACGCTGCACAACACCTCTTGCTGACCAGTCCCCGCCTCGCTTCGCCCCAGACGCTTTGCGGGGGTATCCTGGCCGTGTGCATACTACATTTCCTTCCCGTTGCGACGAGAACGTTGTCCATCTTCTCAACATTTGTCCCGGTCTTCTTCTTCGGGATCCGCCACTTCGACCATCAGGCAAAATGGGTATCCAGGGACTGGCTAGGCGTCTCGAGCCCTACGCGACGCGGTATTCCTCCGAGCAGCTGGACGGCTACTCAGCCGTGGTAGACGGCCCTGCGCTCGCCTACTACGCTCACAAATTGGCTCTCGCTTCGGCCGCTAGCGCGTCCGGAATACCGTCTTATGCGGACATCGTTGCTGAAGCAATACACTGGCTGGCCTCGTTGGAGAAGAGCAACATCAAGGTGTGAGTAGACCACAGTTGCTTTTCGCACGGAACCACCACGGCAAGCCAATAAGGTGCGCACATATGTTCTTCACTTCACCGCCATTAACGCAGGGGTCTCAAACTCTTCCATATCGCAAGGTCGATATGTGAAGGCATTGCTTTGTGCTTGACCGTTGAATGCACCTTATGCAGGTGCCATGTGATGTTCCTGCCGTCCACTGCTGATCGCACCTTCTCAGGTCTGCCATCTACTTTGACGGAGCCCTCCCCATATCAAAGCGCACAGAGCGCTTGTCCAGGACGGAAGCGAACAACAGACGGGTGCAGCAATTTCGCAATAACTATGCTACTGTCTCATGTCCTATTCCGACATATCTAGGCTCGATATCCTACGCCTTTCTTGCACCTGCACTGCAAGAAGCGTTGCTGGATTCGCCGTTTTCTTCCAAAACGAAGACCGTACCTGGAGAAGCAGATGATTGGTGCGCATTGCACGCAAAGGAGAATGCAAAATCTATCATCTTTACGAGCGATACGGATCTTGTTTTGTACGACTACAGCTTCGACACACTGATTGTGTTCCTCCACGATGCTGATGTGGCCACGGGCATCAAAGCATATTCACCCGACGAGATCAGCAAGCAGTTACAACTCAAAAGCTTGGTGACCTTTGCATATGCTCTCCTTGATGGCCCACAAGACAGTTCAAAGCTCCTAGCTCACACAGCCCAGGCAATAGATCAGAGCTCAACATCCTATGTCAATTTCGCCAGGCGCTACGTTGCAAAGGCTCCGAGTCCCAGCGCGACGTCTAATCTGCCAATGTCAGATGTTCGGATATCAGAATATATCCACCAAGCCCTCAACGGACTCGAATCCCCATTCGTATACATGCCTCTGCTGGTCGAAGACCCTAATCAAGCGTCTGCATGGAACGTAGGACAAGATATTCGTACAATAGCATACTCTCTCCTCGCTCGAAAGCCAAATATGATCGTACACGAGTACCGGCGAAAAGCCCAAGGTATCAGCGTTCAAGAAATCTCTACCTACTCTTCCACGGATCTTGCAACTTCCGCAGCCGATCTAGAGCGCCAGCTGCGCACCCTGAGAGAATGGGCAGCAGCGCAATCGGATTTTGTCAAACCAGCACTTCTATGGCCGTTATTCGGACTCAGCTTCGTCCTTGCAGAACTCAACACGCCGCCTGCGATCCTTCTCGTCCAGCGCGTACTCAACGGCGAGTTCGATAACAGCTGGGCGTTTGTCCATTTGACTGCCAGGATGCACGCAGCTATCTACTCATTGCGCGTGTTGAGCCAGATTATAGGCGTGTGGCTGGCTCTCCACCCCACTGTACCCACCTACTCGACTGAAAAGACGAAATTACACACTACCCTATCCAGCCTGGCAACTCACATGGCCGACTTCCCTTGCATACCCGATGTACTTGGTGTGCCTGGGCAGACGAAGAAGGTGGTGGCGCAGCATGATGTGTTGAAGGGGTTGGTCGAAGAGATTTATCGGTCGAATGGGGCGCAGGTGCTGAGCGGGGATGGAGTGAGTAATAAGAAGAAGAAGAAGATGGCGAGAGAGCAGGAGAGGAAGAAGAAGAAGGCTGAGGTGAGGGCGCAGGGAAGAGTGGAAGGGAGTGGGTTTGCGTTGTTGGGGGACTGTCAATGAAGCTGAAGCTGTACTGGCGGCCTGACAGAATTGTCAAGGTTCCTCTTCGTTCCGCTAAGAGTTTGCGTTGACGTTGTGTGACCGCTTTCCAGCTATGACTAAGCACACGCACGAGCACTTGCATACGGCTTCTTGACAGCTCATAACAAAATCATCAAGCTCTACAAGTTGAGAGCGGGTACGTGGCCTTGGGTGAGATGTGAGAATTACTGTCGACCATGAGGATGAAATGCCAATTGTTGAATACTATCAAAGATTCGACTTGGTTTGAAAGCGTGAGACTTGCTATCATGACAACTATCCTGTACCCTATTGTATTTTCTCCAAACAGTTGGTTCACGTCGCTGTCCTGTACTTGACACATTACTGCGCATAGTCCTCCATCCAGAAGTCTGCAGAGTTCCAAGGCGCAAAACCGGCATCTATCTCCGGTAAGGGATATATGGCTAGCCTGACCTCACCATCCGCCAATGTTTCGAGCCTAGCACACAGACATGTGCCAATGCATCCATCGCAAGCTCTCGTCGGATGCATAAACGGATTTCTTTCTTCGTCTAGATTACCTCGTAAACATCCACGACTTGTGTCCTTGTCTTCGATGATCCTCTTATAATACGCTCTCTCGATACTGCCCCGTAAGAAGTAATGATTGAAATGTCTAACAATCTTTTCCACGGATGAGCTTGATAACTGACTCAGGCGCTTATACTCCGTGCCGTTGTTACCGGGTACGCAAAAAACCACATCAATGTTAGGAATCCTGACAGTCTTTCGGCGTCGCCGCATCTCGTTGTCCTCGCTGTCGTCTTCCTCGTCGAGTTCCTCGTCGCTGTCAATAAGATCTAGATCCGGAATGCCTGAGAGATGTTGGGCGTCTTCTGAGGGTTGCTGTCAGTCGCCTATTTGATAATGCAGTCGATCTCACACTGACCTTTGTCTTCTGCCAAGCTGGTACCAGTGCCTTGTAGCCGGTCCTCGTCGAGCAGAGCCTTACTTGCCTCAGTACTGCTAGCTTCGCGTCTTGTCCATGCCAATAAGCCGTCTCCTCGAGTGATCGCAATCTCTTCCAGTAGCCCCGTTGCCACAGGGTCGAGGTGCGACCTAAAGGCGCCTGTCGTGAGCACAGCCTTAACAACCTTGACCAGCTCCTCATCAGGCCAAGCCATGATGAAGTCTCGTCTGGTAGAGGCAAAGGCAGGGTTAATGGAGAGATGCATCAGCACTTGGAGTATGAGTCGGGTGCCTAGCATGATGGTATCGTGAGGTTTGTAAAGTTGAGATAAAAAGTAGTTATCGACTAGGAATCACAGGATGAGAGGTAGCAAGTCATATGGGCAGTGTGCAATTTTACTTTGGTATCATCCACTTGCTTCCATGGTACTGAGATGGCGCAGAACAGCCGAGCCACTCTTCACTCTGGCGACACAAACGACAAAATCGGGTACTTCGAAAGTAAGACCGTGTGACACGATGAGAGGATTCAATTCGCCACTTCTACGCCTTTCGATTCCGTCGCATCATGGACCCAGAACCCCATCTCTGTCCAGTGCTTGCCAACGCGCAATTGAGGTGGCAGAGGAAAGACGACCTTTTCCGTTCCGTGGTGATTCACTTTGATCATCCTTAGACAAAGACGGTGAGTATCGATGCAGAAGTCGCAAGCGCTCCATACGTTTCCTTTAGACTGCACGCGTGTGCTCGGTCCACGTTTTCGTCTGATCGTGAAGTCGCTCAAACAATGACTGCTCGTCCCAAAATTCCGTGTTTGAAACAGTATCATGTCACCGTATCGCTCTATACTCTTCCATCCTTGTATGAAGTCTGCACCGATCTTACGGCGGATCTGGACGGAAAGCTCGAGTGGCATTTTTGGAAGCGGCTCCAGCCCGTCATTCGTTTCTTGTGTCGATAGCATCTCCTTAGGGATATAAAATCCTAACTCGTCCTTTGTAAAGAACGCAGGATGGTCTGGGTCTTTACTCATGCCAGCCCAGCTTTCTCGAAATTCTGGGTGCCATGGGGTAGGATCGACATAGAGCAGATGTTCTGGGACAGTAGGGCCGAAAAGGATATGTCCAGGTGCTGTCAGACTTACAGACCAAGCTGATTCAGCTTTTTGAAGTGTGTCAGAGTTGGCAGATACATCCTTGATTTTCCTCGCGCGCTTGACCGTGGTATCGAAAGCCTCCCAAATACTCGGATCACGTTTAATACAGTGCTCGGATGCCGCTGATGCTGTTGGTGATGAACCCGCAGACGATGGCAGTTCTTCGACTTTCACTACACGATCAGATTAGTTTCCAGTAGTAGTAGCACGGGACGCGCATTTTCACACGCGATGGAGTCAAAATCATCCGTACATTCCTCAAGCTGTGCTTTGACATCGCCTGCACGATCAATTGGTGTACCAGACGCGATACCCCCTTCCTGCGCAGCTGTGTCGAGGACGACCAACAAGATCTTTTCTAATCCCTCTCTTGTAAACTCGCGCTTTGTACCAATACTGATGACTTGCGCTATATCCTCATCGGTTAAGCTCCGTATCTTGGTGCTGCGGGACTCGCGTTGCGCCCCATGTCTGGAGAGAGAAAGCAATTCTTCTAAATTTTCTTCAGCGTTTGCGTTCGATGGCATTGTCCGTGGAAATGTTGTAACCGTCCGAAATGTTGTGGTGACTGATGTTGGTTGCGTCGCGTGCTATGTTGTAGCACGGAGATGGCGGAGGATGATTGGCTGCATGCCGGAATTCCCGGCCAAGTATGCCTACGTTTTCCACTTTATCTTCTTTGCATTCCCTCACAAGGTCAATTTCTCCGGAGATAGAAATATGCCGAATGCGCAGAAGACATTGATACGGACGTTAGCTGGGCCTATGGGAGATAGTTCTCATTAGAGACCCACCTTTGCATATGCTGTGAGTGGCTTATTGATCGACGGAGATTTGCAACTGGGGCTAATCAACAGTTCTAGACCATCTGCTATAGTTTGTGCACAGAGGCACTCCATGCGGAACCACGTTTTACAAGTCCTGTTTCATCCTCACCCATGTCGTGTAAATCTTTTTGTGTTGTCAGATAAAACCCGTCATAAGTCTTGTGTAGGTAACGTGTCCAACCCACCAGCGAGGTAGCCGAACATCTGCTGATCGTTGTCTCCAGTCACCGTCGGAGTTCATGCGCCCATTCTCGAATCATGTAGGTCAACGAATTAAAGAACTGAATTCCTCTTGACAAGAAACACCTCGTATGTCGAGCATTCACCGTAACGTGAAAACGAGGCGCGGATGGCTGCCAAGGCCGTTGGGCACGGGTGGGTCATCCCACCAACTCCCGCATCGGAAATGCGGCAGCTATGGCTTCCACCTAGTTCGTCCAGATTTGGGTGGAATGGAGGCCAAGAACTTGGTTGCTGACATCGCTTGAGCTCGACGTCAGTGCTTACATTGCAATCCAAGAACAATCGGGATGCGGGGAAACATGCATCGACCGTTCAGACCGGTGCCAGGACACAATCGTGTCGTTCTGAGTCCAAATCGCGCAACATACGAAGCCTCTGTGCGTTAATCATATCATGCAGGAAGCTGGAAGTGGAGAAAGAATAGCAGACCGTCAATGTTGGGAGTGTCTCAAACGACGCCTGGTGTGCGATCGTACCCTGCCGCTATGCAAGAAGTGTCCCAAGGCTGGCAAGGAGTGTCCCGGATATAACGAACAAAAGCCATTGCAGTGGTTAGAGCCGGGCAAAGTGTCTCTACGGCCGAGGAAGAGGAACAGTCCACCAAAGAATTTCACCTTCCGACCAAGGACCTCCGGAACGAGCGCGGCAATCGTCGCGAGCGTGCCAGTCGCTGCTCCTTGTGAGCCTAGCGAGCCTGGTCTAGCGGGGTCAATCTCGCAAGAACCGTGCCTGACCCTCGCATACCCGCTTTTCGAAAGATCTCCGATCACTTCAGAGGCTATCGAACTATACGAGAGTCATCTCGCAAGCTTGTTGGTGCAAGGAGATAAAGCAGCATGGTGGCATGATCTTGATGTTGAGAAGCGGGTGAAGCACATCACAGTGATGGCTACCGAGGCTGCAGCTGCTTCTGGAGTCGGCGAACGTATCATGCGAATCGGCAACCAAGATCAGATCAAGGAAGTCGTAGAAAGGGGCCAGTACTGGGAAGCTGCGTTACTGTTGCAGTCTAATCGGGATCCTCTCGCTAAGATACAACGACTGCTTCGAGTCATGCAGGCGAACAAACTACCTTCGTATGACTTCTTGTCGGATGAAACATGCGAGGTAGTGCATGCTGTCAACTACTGTACGTGTACCCACGCAGACAGTATGTTCATACTTAACTCTTTAGTTAACACCAGGATATACCCATATATCAAGGAAACTGACGCCTTGGCACCCAACCCAGCGATAATCCGCTTCCCCGTATGGGCATTGCACGTCTTGCCCCCTGCGGTGCACTATACCACTGTCTGCTTAAGTATAAACCATTATATGCACTCGTTACCCCCGGGATCGAGTGGTATGGTGATTGGAGAAAAGCGACTGAAGATTTACAACTACCGGGGCCTTGCCATCCGTGCCCTTAACGAGAGCATAGCGCACAAGGAGACCCGCAGCAGCGATCTCACTATTACTAGCATACTCATGTTTATGGCGATGGAGGTAATGAGTAGACTCTGACGGTATGGAAGATATAAACGTGCTAACTGCCACACTCAGGTACACGACTCCAAAGATGGAGACTGGAGGTCTCATGCGGACGGTATGAAGCAATTGATAGATATACGTGGTGGTTTTGAATCCCTCCTACGAACAGCACCTCATCTGACCTCAGCGCTAGTGGTATTTGTGATGTCAGTATGGCCCAGTCTTTGTGAGAGTTGTGGCTAATGACCTGCAGCATAGTAACGTTTTCGAACACTCTTGGTCCGGTATCACGTCAACTCAATATCACGGAGCCGCTTGAGCAGCACATTAAGGAAGTGGAGAAGGTGTATAGCCTTGTCTTGCCTTACACATTGTGTCCGGTAACGCTGTTCATCGACATCATTCGCATTAATCGACTACGTCAGGAAGTCGCCCTCTCGTCCTTTGCGGACCAGTACCAGCATACCTTGAATGTCCAAAACATTCTCGCTCGTATCGAGGGTTTTATTCCTGGAGATTGGGCGCAAGCCGGTGAGAATCAAGATGACTGGCAGCTGATTGGTTCAATCTATCAATCTGCTATAGCACTTTACTGCATCATGTCACTGCAGGCTCTCGCGGCTCTTCCTGCTAGCACCGAGATGAATAGTATGCGCACTGACCATGCGAAGCATTTATTGGAAAATATGAAGGCTGCCATACGTTTGAAACAGCTGAAGAAAATTGCGATGTTTCCGTTGTGTGTACTTGGAGTGGAAGCGGGGTATCACGACCAACAATGTACTCGACAGTGGATTGAACGACAATTAGAAGCAAACGCTCGACTTCTTGGTACCAGCAGCCCTCTGAAAGCGCGGGCGGTACTCAGGCGATACTGGCGGCGGAAGAGGCCCGGCTGGGATGAGTGTTTCGACGAACCGTATGTGCTCTCTATGCCTTTTTCCAGATTGGAGAACTAATCATGTCCATAGATTTACGATCCTTGTGCCAGCAGGTGCTTGCTAACTGTTTTGCCGACAGGATTCAGATATGCAGACTTTGTCTAAGCAACAGCGGGGCATCCAGTCGACTATACTGTTTCTACCAGAACAGCATCAGTATACACAACGCACGCTGCTTCGAATCTCTCAATCTCGTCATTTCCAACACGGTTTTCGGCAACAGACTTATGCACATTATTACGTTGATATGTAGATTCTGGGACTTATTTCGATTGTTCTGAATAGGCGGACATTATAGTAAGCTAAAGAATCTAAGGAATTCGTGTATGCACGCCTTAAGTGGTAGGTCTGACGACAAAAGAGCCCCACCGTTGTATGATCAGTCGTCCTTGATATTGGCATAGTGTAAGCCTTTTGGTTTCCATTTGTTTATGCATTTCTGAGCGTGATTCGTGTTTCGCTGAGCAAGAAACTCGCAAGTGCTTTGTATCACCGAGAGGCCGAAGGGAAGGCACGCTTACCCGTTCTGGCAGCAGGTCCGTAAGGCAAACTGACCTGCACGACAAAAGCAAGAATCACTTGTCGCATCTGATCATCCGACGCGATCTCTTCCCGTGATTCGTGGTTGTGAGTCTTGGCCCTGTTGGTTTCCTGAAATGGTTAAAATCAATGACGGGCACTCTCAATAGACGCGCTATGCTATTCGAAGACGTTAGGGGCTCAGCTTGGCCATTTGACTGCCTGTTCCAGTGTAGCGTGATACAGTGGTACCCCAAACGCACATACCAATGACAACGGTCACATCTGCGATTCACTTTTGCTCATGCTACATAACGCCGACTATGATCAGACGCTGACGTAAGATCTTGTGACGATAGCTTTGTGGGTGTATGTTCCTTGTAGCTTTGTAGAATATGTCTGGTGGTCGCGGAATCTTGGATTTGGCACGGACCGGTAGTGTGGAAACTTATGGCCCTCTTTCCCTAATGCAGCTGCAAAGCTCAATACTCCTAGCAAGGATATCTTACTGGTATTGACAAGTACCTCTCGGAGAGCTATATATATATGACAAGATGGAAACCCGATCTAAGAATCAACAATTCAGCAGCCAACGTTTAAGACTGTTGCAGAACAAGACAAGAACAATTTGAGAAAGCATGATGATTTTTCCACGAAGAATTATTGTCCTTACGTTTTACACGTCACTGAATATCGGAGCAACGGCACAGTACGCATCAGCTCAACAAATCAAGAGCTCTGGTGATCCCCAGACAGTCGCTATCAACTGGACAGATGCATCCAACGAATTGGGCAGACCTGGTTCTTACGGAACGCTGGCTGTTCCCCTCGACTACAATTCGCCACAATCGGAGAACAACACGCTCATTCTCGATATCTTGAAAGTTGATGCGACGAAAGAGCCTAGGTTAGGGAGCGTCTTGACGAACTGGGGAGGGCCCGGGTTAGATGCGATGTCTTGGCTGTCTTCCCAGGCTCGTTACGTCCTCGCGTAAGTCTTCCCTTACAGTTTATACATCACAGAATTATGCTAAAGAGGAATCTGCTAACGATATCATGTACGTAGTATGACGGGCGGACAGTATGACATCATTGGTCCCGACCCGCGAGGCACAGGAAAGACGTTGTCCGTCGACTGCTACAAAGATTTGGAAGAGCGGGCGCGTGCCTGGTTACTAACACCTGCGAGTACTAATTCATCTGACGCAGCATTGGGTGCTGCTTGGTCGTACAACGAACAGTACGCACAACGTTGCTTCCAGAACGAAATGGTGGCTGGATCTGTGATGAGCACAGCATTCGTTGCCAGAGACTTTATGAAGATAGTGGATGCCCTTACTTTAGAAGGCGAAGACGGGCTGTTGCGGTACTGGGGTAAGATGGAGGAATTTCCCAACTGTAGAGCTACCACGTACTGACTTTTCAATCGTAGGGATATCGTACGGCACATATCTCGGGCAGATTCTCGCTACCATGTTTCCAGACAAGGTCGAAAGAATGATGCTTGACGGAGTTCTCAACCCGCTCGAATATCAGCAAGGATGGTTCGTGTATTTCTACCGATGAAGATGGCACAAACTGACCAGAGACTAGGGAGACGGGTCCATCTGTCTCAGCATCAGCAAGCTTAAAAGAATTCACAAAGCAGTGCATCGATGCTGGGCCCTTCTGTGCCCTATTCCGCCCCAATATCTCCGCGAATGCATTATACAAACGAATCCAGGATCTAAAAGAGAGTGCTAAACGCCTCCCGATCGTCATGGGTCCTAACGTCACGACCGATATTGTCACCTACGACAAAATCGCAGAGGCCAGTGATACAGCGCTTCGTTCTGGTCTAGCTTTCGGGCCTTACTTGGCTGGCTATCTCAACAGTATCATGATCCGCGATACTCCCGAATACAATCACACCCAATATTTGGCGAACCGCTCGATGATCGTGCGGGACAACACTTTCAATGCAGATAATACACAACTCATCCGTTGCTCCGACGCCATGTTGCGTGCTGTAGAGCTCGCCGATATCGAGCACCACGTCCAAAACCTAACAGAGTTGGGTGATTGGAACAGTGATTACATCATAAGCTCGTACATGCTATGTTCGCAGTGGAAGATCCAGGCAAAGGAACGCTACGAGGGTGATTTTAGAGCGGAAACTAGGAATCCTGTACTGCTCATCGGCTCGCCATATGACGGTCGCACTCCAATCTCTGGGGCGTTTGCAGCGAACAAAACTCTTGAAGGAAGTGTGGTACTACAACACAACGGTCTTGGAGTAAGTTGTCACACAACTCCCATCTCGATACATCAGTGCAGAATGTCTATGAGATATTTGCTAACAGGATTGGTAGCACACTGTCATGTACAGCCCTGGAATCTGCGCGATCGCTGCTACCGCTGAGTATTTCGTCAACGGAACTGTCCCCGAAGAAGGAACCGTTTGTGAGCAAGACTTCAGTTCCTTCTCTGGAAAAGGCATGTCTGATACTCTCGACTTACTCGGAGAGTTTTGATGCATGCATGCGTGGAGGCTGGAGCTGTGTAGATACAACTTTGGAAGGATAAGTACTGGGAAAACTGCATATAATGATAACACTTAGTTGGGTTCATCCGAAGCCTGATCGCCTGTTATAATGCTAAATCTTACCCAACGTGCATACTGTGTCGACGTCTACTGCGACCAAGAAAATAATTACTCGAAACATTACCGATACATCAGAGTAGAGTAAAGAGACCAAAGGATACGGAGCACGCCGAAAGACTGTCATGTCTGGAGATAGCGTGGGGTGAAAAAGAAAAGCGCAAAGCGCAATCCAGAAAGCGGGCAACTGGGTAAATCAAATGGAAGAGGAGACCAAGGGCTGCGCCCCACAACGAAATTGAACAATAACAGAGGGCTGAAAGCGGTACCACCTGAGGCCTGCAGGCTACACTCTTGTTTATATGAAAGCACACCACACGCGTCATCCGATCGTAACTTACCCCGCACCACGTCTCATGTGCCTGTCATATATATGCTTGCCTTACTTGGAACCTAAGCAAAAGCATCACAATCCTAAACCAAGTCTTCCCTCTCTCTTCAAGTTCATACTAGTTTGTGGCGAAACAACCTGTATACTTAGTATGAAGGACATCAAAACAGAGATCATAAACACGACGGAGCAAATTGGCGATTTAGTCGATTGGCTCATCCTCCGCTATGAACCGCCAGTTCCGCTCTCGCCAACCATGTACATAGATCTCGAAGGCGTAAACCTCTGCCGTGAGGGCTCCATTTCCATCCTCACCCTTCTAATTCATACTGGCATTCCGACCGGGCGCGTCTATCTGATCGATGTGCATACACTAGGCGCACAAGCGTTCAACACTGCTGGTGCCAAACAGAAGACGCTAAAGGATATCCTCCAAGATGAAAGGATTCCAAAGGTCTTCTTTGACGTTCGCAACGATTCAGATGCGTTGTTTGCGCATTTCGGCGTGGCGTTGCAGGGGGTCGAGGACGTCCAGCTTATGGAGAGTGCGACAAGGAAGACCACGGCATCTCGGAAGTTCTTAAATGGCCTGACCAAATGTGTTGAGAAAGAGTGGTCCATGTCCATTAATGGCATCGGCCTAGTCAGCTGGAAGCTGGCTAAGGAGAAAGGCGAGCGATTGTTCAAGCCCGAATATGGCGGCTCGTATGACGTGTTCAACCAGCGACCAATTCCAGAGGATATATCATCTTACTGTGTCGGTGACGTCCAGTACCTCCCCAAGTTACGGGATAGGTTTTACACGCAGGGGGCCGGTCGGTGGCAAGACCTAGTTGATGAAGAAACCAAAAAGCGCGTTGCAACATCTCAGAGATCGGACTACCAGCCTCACAGCCGAGACAAGGCGATGGCTCCATGGAGCAAAGAACAGAACATGGTTTTGGATCAGTGGAATTATGTGCCTCCTCGCAATGACTTCGACGAGTCCTTCAACGAGTCTTTCGACTCAGATGATTGGTACGATGACGGGCCGACCAGCTGTAGGGACATCATCGACGATTGCGACTACCACTTTTACTATTCAGACTAAGCCTCGTAAACTAGTCACCAAAGTTAGATACTCAGGATATGTATTAGCATTCTACTTGTTTTGGAACATGTCAAGGAACCTCTGGGCTGTATTTAATGTAACTGAGGTCCTAAGCTCATCAGGTGGCGATACATGTAACCATTATGCTCGCGCAAGATGATGAAAAAATGGAAACAGGTCTGATTCTGGTATCTACAAATGATGCCTAATTCACGACCCGTCCGTCTAGAAGCCACTTTCGCCTGTGCAAGGCTCTCCTTGCAAAGTAGATGTAGCTTGAAAAGTCTATAAACATCTTTGAACCCAAAAAAAGGAAATTCGTCTCAATATGCGTGCATCACCCTCCGCTTTTTGCTTTCCCATCACCTTGCGAAATAATCCCTAGCCCCATCTCTACTAGGACTATACGGCGTATACTGCTCCTGTCCCCTATTCCCTCCAGCACCACCACTACTTCCCATGGGCGCCGCCCCAGACACCAAC